TTTTTTTTTTTTTTTTTTTTTTTTTTGAGCAAGAGAACTGTTCCTTTCTGTCTCTGGGATCTCAAGACTTCCATAAAAACCAGCCTCCAAAGGCTGCTTTGCTTCTTTCATATATTCCCTTTCTCCTTTTAACATGAGTCAGCACCAGCGCATCTGCCGGTTGCTGCTGCACCAGCATCAATGTGCTGCAAAACAGGCTAAATGGAGCTGAAACTTCAGCCTGCAGGTAGCCCTGCTTTCAGGAACTACCCCTAGAAAAGTGCTTTGCAGTAAAGAATAAATTCTTTATCTGGCAGCCTTGAGCACTGCTACGAATTCTTCACCCCTCTTTAAACTCGCCTGGCATGCTGGCAGCCTGCCACCGCTTCCCCCAAATGTTTGGATGTAACCCTTCAACCTACCCCTATCAAAACCCAACTGTGCTAACACAATATTCCCTGCTCGTTTGAACCCTTCCACCACAACCACCCTGCCAAAAAAAGTTAAAAAAAAAATGAAAGAAAAGAAACAGATAACATTAGCAGTTCAAAAATCCCTTTGCATTCCTCTCCGGGCCCTGCATTACACAGCCCGTCCCGGGAAAGCCGCATTCCTGAGGGAGCCCTGGATTTGCATGTTTGCCTATTTGCATGGGCCCTCGCACATTTGCCAATATTGCCACATTGCTGATTTCACCAGCAAAGACAGATTACTGCTACATTGAAGTCATTAAAGTTGGTGTCAAGAGCAGTGTTTGTGGGTGAGCCAGATCCTTTTTTTTTTTTTTTTTTTTTTTTTTTTGTCTGTTTTTGTACCTTGCAGTTGTGATTTGGCTGGAATCTCATTTGGAAATGACAGGAAGCAAAAATCATCAAGAGCGCTTAAAGCTTCCCTGGAACAACCTTAATTGGAGCAGTATTATTTAACTGTTGGACCCTAACAGATGAACACTTCCTTTGCCTAGTTATCTTCCTCCCACCAACTAATGCTACCAAACTGCTTTTAAAGACAAAAATACAAGGCTTAAGTTAACATAGCTACGCTCAGCGTAAACTCCAGGGGACAGGGAACCCAACGCGACTCCAAGAAATTCCTTCAGCCTCCCGTTTCTGGCACTGGCCAGGGATTTCCTGAACCTGGTAGGAGTTTTGGGAGCAGAGACTGGGCAGAGCCGGAGCCCGGCTCCTCCGGCAGCCGCTCCCCCGGCGACAGCGAGGCTGCCGAGCAGGTTCCCGCCGCTTAATAACTCCCAGGTAGTTTTAGCCCCCGCCTAACTAGGGCAGTTCAAAGGGGCGGATGGAGGCCTGCTCGCTACATGCCTGCTCGCTCGCAGCGGCAATTAGCAGGTCCCCAGTGAAACTCGGTTACCTGCGGACTGGGGCATGGGGGGAGGAAAGGCTGATTTCCAGAGATGCTCAAAGCTACCTGTTCGTATAAAATAAATAGGAAAGGAGGCTAGTTCATGRGAACCCGCTCTGCATGCCCAGGGGGATGTATCGTCCAAGTGGCACCAATCTGTTCCCCCTCCCCTCCACCAGGTACAGAATGCAAAAAAAAAGTGACATTCCTTAGGGTGCCCAGAAAGGGAAGCATTTGCTGACATATCACCCATATACCTTTTTCATTTAAAACTCATCCTTCTCTGCCCCCAAATGAGCTGCACTCCTACTCCTCCAAATCAATAGGACGATTTGCATTTATCCTCCTGGAGGCATCACTGCCAGGACCGGGGCCAGAGCGATCCAATCGATAGAGGGAAGCTGGAGAAGAAGCAGCCGGGAGATTCCCCCGGGGAGAAATGCAAAACACTGGAGAAAGGCAACAATTATTGTAATTGAAGGTAATGAGGCCGAGGCGCCAGCTC